TTATTATTATTATTATTATTATTATTATTATTAGAGTTAGAGTTTAGATTAAAGTTCTTATGCTGGAGTTTGTTTTGGGAGTTTGAAACAGCTTGCTTTGAACTACCATTGGTCTGTGGTGATTATGATATAGGTTAGTGTGGCTCTGGGGCTTCTTCGACATCGAAATCTTTTCCAGTTAATTTATTCTGTTCAGTCTCTCGAGATCAGACATCCATGAATTAAAACATGAATACTCTGGAGAGCTGCTTTATAGAAATTGAACATGTCATTCTGTCGAACTGAAAGCGACACTGACACTGTTTTTCATGTTCAATAGTGTAAAGCTGCTTGCTTTAAAGCTCTATTGTACAAAGTGCTATATAAATGCCAAATTGCAGCCCGTCCAAACATATCCACATCACTATGAAAAGATGCTTTCTAAACTGCTGTTTTCTCAGCACTGTTATTTGTGTTGTGTGTTTATTTTGCTATTGAGAGGAAAGTGCACAGCACATATTTGCATATTAATGTAAACGCCAATCTCAGCAGTGCAGGCGGCGTCAGATTGTTTGCAAACTGTATATCGCTGGTCACATATTTCAAATTTATGAATAAGGAAATGTACTTAACCATGAGTATATTGGGGCCTTAGGTGGTATGTAACTTCTGTGGATTATGCGGGGTTTTTTTCATTCAAAAATCATCACATAGAAACACTAATAATACTTCTTTAAGAGAGCAGTGCTCTCGTGCTGTATTATTTCAGAATGAAGAACAAAGATCTTTACATTCAGCGATCATCTGAGAGGAAAAAAATGTGTTTGTAAAACTGAATCATCATTTTCCCCCCACAATCATTTGTTTTACCTTCTGTGAATCTGTTTTCTTTCTTTCAGGAGAATAGTGGAGAACCATCGCCCCTTATTCCGACTGAGACTCTAGAGATGTGTGTTGCTGATAGGACATCCCTTGATCAGACTGATACTATGAAGACGGGTGCTGCTGGAGGGGCATCCACTGATCAGAATAAAAACACACTGACGGGTTCTGCTGGAGGGGCATCCACTGATCAGATTGATACCATGAAGACGAGTGCTGCTGGAGGGGCATCCACTGATCAGAATGATACCATGAAGACGAGTGCTGCTGGAGGGGCATCCACTGATCAGAATGATACCATGAAGACGAGTGCTGCTGGAGGGGCATCCACTGATCAGAATGATACCATGAAGACGAGTGCTGCTGGAGGGGCATCCACTGATCAGAATGAGACCATACAGACAAATGCTGCTGGAGGAGCATCTGCTGATCAGACTGAGACCCCGCGGATCAGTGTTACTGAAGGGGCACATGTTAATCAGACAGGGTGTTACCTGCAGTAAAACCATGGTGAAGGGATTATTACAGCTATCGAGACAGGAACAGTGTGCATGAATGTGTGCAGAGTGAAATTATTGAATCACGAATCCAAAACGTCAGGAACGCTCACAAACAGATGTCATGCAACAAAACAATAAAATTAATCTGGAGAAGAGATCTCCAAAGAGAGCAAACAACACCACCCCCTTGCTCATTTACGACCCCCTTCTCCCCGTCTCAATTTCACAGTAGTCACTTATATTATGAGAACTTAATATAAATTCTTAACTTTTGTAGAATCGTGTTCTGCTGAGGAGGGGGTGTGTCCCCCTCAAGATCTGTGAAAATAGTTATCTATCTCCAGTGAGGTGCGACCCTGGGTCATGAGAAACCTAACAAACCAAAGGGTATTTTATGTGTTTACAACTGATTTGAAGATTTATTTGTTTCTGGTCTGGGTATATAAGCGAAGTGACAAAACACTACGGTGGGATTCTGTAGCCAGAAAACCCCCACACAGTGTAGGTGAATCTCTGGAGCTTTGCACTAGAACTCACATACTGCTGTGTGTCTCTCTGCTGTCAGGTATGCATTTCTTAGATTCAATCTTTGAGCAATCAATGTTATGTATTTATTTGAATTGAAACCGAATTTAACTCTGAATTTAAATAACTTCTAATTGTTTTGTTATGTAATTGGCGTGATACAACTTTACCTGACTAATGATAGATTGTTATATTTGACTTGTTCTGATTAGGCCTGTCACGATAACAACTTTTTGTTGTGCGATATATTGCCCCAGAAATAATTGCGATAAGCGATATTATTGTAATTTTAAATATTATTATTGACCATTTTATGCCACTGAATATATAATCATAATGTAACAGCATAATAATGCAAGAAGGCCTACACACTTCCAAATGACAACAAACTTTTAATTTAAGTATATTTAGATCATGGAAATTAAGTATCAAAATATTAGATTCTGTAGTGTCTGGACCAACCAGACACACAATTTTTTTAGTTATATTTAACAAATACTCTGCAACACCCCTCAGTCAACAAATCAACTGCGAGGGTCTATGGACCCTTTCCCCGAAATGCATCTAACACCTCAGAAAGGCAGAACACGCCTCTGCTTCCATGGCAACCAATGCTGATATCATTTTATTGCCCAAAGGAATGCGGGCAGAGAAACTCACAATTAATTTACTCTTAGGAAAGACACACAATGCCCATAAAAATGGACTCTTCTCTAATTAAATCATAGAAAAACCTTTCTGTGAATGAACACACATCTCCTCAGAACATTGTGTATACCATTACTGTTCTTGTATATTGTTCTTATGAATTGTATACTGTTGTGTGTGTGTTTTATGATAGATCACTAGTTAATATAACCCCACCGATAGCATGTTTGGTCTCTTTGAATTTGTCTTCTGATGATCTAAATGAGCGTTTATATTATATGTGGGTACATAGGTTCATTAGTGTTCTAATAATCTTTAGTAATTTTGATTCGAGTTCCATATGCAAATTACCATGCTCTCATACAAAGGGTCATAAAACTCCCCAGTATTTCCAACCTCCCGCTTGGAATTTCAGCCTTTCTCATTGGACAAGCCCATCCTGAGAGGCGTGAATCTTCTCAGACCTTAAAAGGCTCACGCACAGTTCCGCCCATGTTCTTG